CTGTAATATACCACATATATACCATGTACTTGTGAAATTATATTTTTAAAATCGTGTATAGTATGTTTTCAGATAATATGTGGTCACATATACCTCACTTAAATTCTGTTAAAGTATGAAATCTATGATGGATCATAGTTGTTGAACTCAAACTCTGTTATATCTAACTTCTATTCTGATATTTTTTCCAAGTCCATGTCACAGTTCCGGTATAAGTACATATTGTTCCTGTGCAACTGTTTTTTTTAAGTATTTTTACAGTATGTGTTCACATAATATCTGGACACATATACCAAATATATAACTGCTTTAAGTTTTTCTTTTTTTTTTTTGTTTTTTTTTTGTTCTTTGAAAGATTTAATTTTTTGAATGCCATTTATTATTATTTTTAATTAATTTTCAGATCAAAGAAATTGTGCGACGGGACAAACGGCAACTTGAAAACCGGGCCGTTGTGCGGAAGGCCGCTCGACATGGAATTCAACCCCAAAACCTGGGAGCTTTACGTCGTCGACCTTTTCCGGGGGCTAATGGTGGTGCCGCCACGTGGCGGCGGCGTGGCCCGCCAGTTGTCTTCCGGCGACGGCATGCCGGCCAACGCCCCGGATGCCGTCGCCATCGACCCGATTACTGGAGAGGTCTATTTCTCGGATATCGGCTCCATCATATTCACGAGCACGTACGATAATTTAGCGCACATTAATTACTATTTTTTTTATTTGTGAACTATGAGAATAATAATAATCGTTAAATTAAATATTTATGGCAGCAACATGACCCAAACCCTCATGAGTGGGGACAAAAGCGGGAGACTACTCAAATATGACCCGAAAACGAAGACACGTACGGTTGTCCTCACTGGGCTCGCGGGGCCCGCGGGCCTAGCCGTGAGCCGAGATGGCTTGTTCGTGTTGATAGCCGAGTACTTGGCGTGCCGGATCACGAGGCTATGGCTCAAGGGCCCGAGAGCCGGTAAAACAGAAGTTTTCGCGGAGCTCCCGGGAAATCCCGACAACATCAAGAGAACATGGTCGGGCGATTTCTGGGTGGCGGTTAATATACAAAAATTGTACCCTAGACTGACGAGCTTTCCATTAGGCCAAAAGATTAACCCGAAAGGTCAAATTACGCGGACTGTGAATTTCTATGATGAGTATAACGCGACGTATGTTACGGAAGTGCACGAGCATGGTGGGTCGTTGTACGTCGCGTCGGTTTATACAGGATTTGTCGGGGTTTATAAGGGGGCTAAGATATGGAGCACGTAGTTATTTTTTTTAGGAGTACCTAATAAAAATTCGCAACTTACTGCGACTAATGGTTAGGCAACTTCATAACAACTACAATTATAATTTAATATATTAATTATCTTGAATCCAAAGTATGTGTATTTGTAAATGATGTCTCTGCTTATGTGGAAATTAAACTAGATTTTTTTTTTTATTTGTGAAACGATAATTGTATTAATAATTTAAACTTAAAAGAACACAAGTTAACAGACACCATCGAAACTAGAACAAAGTCTGGATCAACCCCTTGGAATCACACATGAGACTAAGAGGGTGCAAACTTCATAAAGAATACACAAACACCCACAAAACATAAATTTCATAAAGAAGACAAACTCGAAAATGAGACTAAAAGTCAGACGCAATTAGACTAAACAAAACGAACACTAAGAAAAACAAAAACAACGCACACCTAATAAACAACTCAATCTCATTATCCTCAATTTTAGCCATATAATTAAATAATACTAATCAATCATCATTACACATTACATGAACTTTATTTAACTATTCATCTACTCACCGTAACAACTAACCATACCACATTTTTTAAAATTAACTATGATTAACAAAAAAAACCAGTAAAAAATCAATAAAATTCATATCCAATCACACCCTAAACTTCTACAACGAATATAGCAGAACCAGTCGGATACTCGATCAAAAGTGAATATTAATATATATATTTTATATGTGTTCCCTTTTTTACTTGCATTATTATTATTTATTAGTAGAAAGCAAATACCTACTCCACAAGTGATGCAATGCTGACTTGGATTATTTCTCATGTCATGTTTGAATGAAAGTTCAATAAAAGTTTGCCAGTCAACAATAGATTCATCATCTTCCAAACAAAAAGACAAAACACTACAAATTTTATAAATCAGCATATCAACTACTGTAGTTTCCACACAAAAATCAGTATATGAGCAAGAACTTATGATAATCATGAAATCACTTGTTTTCATGTTATCAGTATTATTACTATCATTATCTTGCTTACCAAACAGTGCGTTAGCCCATGTATATCATCAATATTCTTACAAGAAGATTCCACTCCCAAGAATAGGTTCAGAGGCATATGCCTTTGATTCAAACAACAATGGACCTTACACTGGTCTTAATGATGGAAGGATTGTCAAATATGAAGGCCCAAAAACTGGCTTTGTAGATTTTGCAATCACTGCTCCTAATAGGTAATTAATTAATAATCTTCTCTTATTAAGTACACAATTAAGTACACAATTAAGTGCAGAAAACCTTGATTATGTTGGTCTGACTATAAAGTATAAACCATTT